TTTCAAACCTTTTCTGGAATCAAGTGCTACAAGAAATTTATCGTTCGAGAGAAATCAAATAAAAACAAAAGCTTTCAAACAAACTTGATTCATCTTCAAAAAACTCCGCATAAGTATCATAACTATCTTTTGAACTTTCACCCATATCTATAGCATATCGTCGCATTAATTTCTATTAAAATATTAAAAAAAAATAAGGAAAAATCAAGAAAAAATAAATAATTCCATACTAGTTTTGCTTTTGATGCATAATATTTATGCCACCATCCAGCTGTTTTTTCCGTATCATTTCTTTTTATTTTTTCTAATGTTGTTAAAGGTTCATTTTCATGTTTTCTATTATTAGGTGATTCAGCTATCGAATCAGATTCTCTTAAACCATCTTCTTCTTCTTTATCTGATTTTCTACCAGATTCATCGCTTCCCTGATTTTTTTTTTGTTAAAAAAGAACAATTGCTAATAAAAAGAGATATTTTCTTTCAAATTACTTTTTTTCCTTGTCCCAATGAATCAGCATGGATAATTGATGCTTGACTATCATTATCGTCTCTATGACGACCTGCATTGCTTTGAAACTTAACTAATTTTGTTTTTCCTAAACTCTCGTTCTGTATCGCTAGAGAAGCTAAAATGAAACCAATGATTGAGATATAAATTTAAAAAGATAAAAACATACCTTCATATGCATTAATAACCGATCTTCGAACACGAGTAAAATTGTATGGAATTCTTTTTGATAATTCATTCACAGCATCAGCTGCAGCTTGATCATTTGGTGTTAAAAGATGCCTAGGTTTTTCAAGATATTTTTGTAGATTAGTTACAACCAGATTGCCAACGATTTCTTTCATTCCAAAAAGACGATGCTGTACACAAAGTATATTTAAATGTGGCCAAAATTTATCATCATTTGGTAAATTCTGTAAAACATAAGGAAGAAAAAAAAATATTTTTCAAAAATGAAAGATCATTGGATTTGTTTTGTTTTCATACAAGAAGAAGTGTATATGTATCTGGTTCAGTAGGTGATGATTCAAAATTTGGATATTTTTGTACATTTTTTATGGTTCTTGTTGCACGTGCACCAGCACATTCAATTGTTACTTCAGCTTCTTGAATAGATTGAAGATTAAGTGTACGACATTCACGTAAACCCCAAAACATAATCTATTCAAAAATACTAGTGTATTTTTATTCAATTAAAAATTAAATATTAGAATTACTTCAATTTGATAAGTTTTAACAGCAGGTATCAATGATAATGGAATTTGATAAATTTTATTTTTCATAATTTTAGTAATATAACTTGTCGGTGGATAATTATCTGTTGTTATTGGAATTTCTTTAAGTTTAAATGTTGTTTCAGCTTCTCGTGTTTTCTATTGTTAAATAAAAAAAATCGAAATCTTTGAGTGACACAAATTTTTTCTTTAAATTGAATTTACTAGATTAATTTCGACAAGTTCAAATATAGCTAAAAGTTCTCCAGTTTTTTTTTCACCAAGTTTAAATTCATACCATTTAAGTATAGACTGTAACGTTGAATTATCTCGATTAAATAAATCAAGTTTAGCTGTTGTGGAAAAACGTCCAATGAAATCTGGACTATCACCACCCTAAAATCATTAACAGAAAACTCATGCCGTTCACCGATTAACCATAGTTTTTCTGCTGAATTTTTTTGATATCTTAGTGCATGAATATTTTTAAAATCTTAGAAAAATGTTAGATTTCACTCGAAAATCATAGGTCTGTGTTATTGTGAGCGCACTAAAGCCGTCTGTACCAGTTGCATCAGCTGCTTTTGCTTAGCTTTCGAGTTTGATTATTTATTAAAGTCGTTGTGGCTGAGTGGTTAAGCGGTTTGACACGTACTATATTAAGGTACTGTGTTTGCACCTCGGCACCATCAGACACGAAATGATCTTGAACAAGTCACTAACGGCTGTTTGTCCTGGATAATCCATACAATAGCGTACTAACGACGTTGTGACATACATTGGCCCTTCTGGTTAGTATGCAGTTAATCAGTATGTGCAGGGAATCCAAGTGATTGAACGGAAAAACTCTGTGTCAGGCTAGCCTTCTATTCAGAGCTGCAGCTAGTAATAGTTGTAGAAAAAATATACGGCTCTG